CCGCCAGCTCAGATCTGCGACCGTGTATCTGTTGGTGAAGTGGTTTCTGATTGATCCTCTGCTGCCTCCGTGAGGTCTCGCCGTCTGTCTTCTCCCTCCTCTCACCGTGTCTCTGCCACTACCTCCTGCTGACACACCAGGTCCCTGTCAGGATCTGGGGCTCAAGTGTTTCCTGGGCAGGGTGCTGCTGGCTGTTCCCTATGTGAGAGCTCTCCCCGTCATTGTGAGAATTAAAGGCAGGAAGATGGTCCCCCTTTGTGGAACTGCTTGGTAATTTGTTAGAAAGCTAAACACCAGCTAGCCTAGGACACAGCAGTTCTGTTCTTATTTACCAAGAGAAATAAAAACATGTGTCCACACAGAAACTTATTCAGTGATGTTCACAGTAGCCTCATGAATACCAGGTGACAACCCGAAGCTGATCAAAGGAGAATGTGCAAATGAACAACAGGGCACTTGTAGCCAGAGCTGCGCTCAGCCGTGGAAAGGAGCAGGCTGCAGGAGTGCCAGCACTGAGGGCCACACTCACCCCTGACGGGGTCAGGCGGGATGGTGATGGGGAACCGCCTGGAAGGGGTGCAGGGAGCTTTCTGGGGGACAGAATTGCTCTTCCCCGTGTTTGAGGGATGGTTACAGGGATGTATACAATTGGCAGAACTCACCGAACAGAATGCTTAAGACCTGTGACCTTCAACGTACATAAATTAAACAAAAATAAAACTAAACAAGCAAACAAAGACAAGGCCCTTAACAAAATTAAAAATAATGCTTTAGAACTGCAACGACGCGCAGGCCATGCTGAGACGCCTTCCTCTGACTCCGACGGCTCACACGCTGCTGACGTAGTGGACTCTGCTAAGGGCTCTCCTCATATTAAGCCATCTTTCCATTAATGAAAAAACTCTCCTTGGGCATCCTTATGGGCTGAATTGTGTCCTCCCAAATTCACATGTTGACTCCCTAACCCCTGAGGGATGGCACCAACGCCTGCAAGTCAGGAAAGGGGCACTGCCGAGAACGAACCTGCCAGCACCTGACCTCAAACGGCCAGCCTCCAGAACCAAGATAATGTCTGCTGTTTAAGCCGCCCAGTCCGTGGTGCTTTGTTTTAGCAGGCCCAGCCGATTAATACAGTAATTATGTATTATCGATAGATTCCGTTTACGAGTATGTGGTTTAGATTCGATGAATTTTTGTTCAAAGGTAGGGCGGGTCTGTAGTTGTCTTTCAAATGTGATTTTAAGGAACCCAGCCTTGTTGGGGACAGCATAACTGAGCACACAAAGGTGCTGATGCATGGGCTGTGACTGCTCAGGACCTGCCAGGTGCCATCGCCCTTCATGTCACGCAGCTCTTGCCAGAGCCTGGTGGAAAAGGGCTCTTCACTCGCTTCTAGGCTTGAGGGGACCAAGGTCGAGGGAGCTCAGTAACTTGCCCGAGCCCAGAGAGAGTTAAGGAACCAGGGTGTGAACCCATGTCAACCTGATGAAAATGTGTGCACTTTCAACTCTGCTGGACTGTGTCTACACAGCAGCACAGCACCCAGAGCACCTGCAGCGTGGGGAGGCTTGGGCGGCACCTGGAGCACCTGGGCCAGGTTTCCAGAGAAGCCAAACATGATTTAACAATCACAGTAGTTTTTAAGTGAAATTTCGACAAGTGCTGTAAGAAAACAACCTGGTGAAGTGGGAGAGAAGGGGGTGTGCGTCTTGAGTGTCATGGAGGCCATGCGGGGATGGGCCTCTCTAAGGAGGTGATACTGAGCTTGAGATGAAGGACAGGACAGTGTCGGGCTGGAGAAGAACAGGCGCAACTCCGCCCTGGGGAGGGTGGAGTTCACCTGGAGGGGAGTGGAGGCTTGACGGGGGGGGGCAGCGGCGGGCAGGCGGGTGGTGCAGGGCCTAGGGGGTCACCACTGGATGGTCACAGTGGGCACCCAGCGTGTGAGCAGATGACCATCACCACCCAACAGCACTGGGGAAGGGCCTTGGGGCCAATTGCCCACAAAACAGTCTCTGGTCAGGGGGACTTGGAAGATGTGTGCACGCGTGTGTGCATGCATGTGGGGTGTGCGCGTGTGTGCTTGTGCACATGGCAAGGGGCGTGGGAGAGTGTGTGCGTGTGGGGTCGGGGCAAAGCTGCGTGTTGGCACTGGGGAGGTCTAGAGAAAATGCAGTGATGCCAACACTGAGAGGAGTGACTGGTGAAGATGAAATTGCTTTGTCAGCAGCCGTCCCCGCATCTGCCCCACAGGATGCGAAATGGACAAATCCAGTCTGGGCAGGCTGTGAACGGCCGGCCACCGAGAGCAGGCCCTCCTGGAGGGCAGGCGGGAGCTGGGGAGGAGGAGCCGGCACTGCTGCGAAGTTCTTCAGGGCTATTTATTGTAGGGGAGACCTGGAAAGAATTTCCGCTGATTAACAGGACCCGCCTGCCGAGCAGACTCCGAGCACTGTCATGAGCACACACCACAGTAACCAGGCATTCCCGCACGGGGTCACGGCTGGTGCCCCAGGAACCTTCAGCAACTCAGCGTGAGCAAAAGAGCAAACTTGGACGGATGCAAACATTTTAGCGTTCTCTACATCCCCCTCTACTTTGCATTTATAATTTTTAAAAAGTCTTTATTAACAAGTTTTCGGTTTTTTACTTCCACCCAGCAGAACAGAGAACAGCTGCTGTTACCAAAGTCGTGGTGGTGCTCTTTGACTGTGGAGAGTCTGGGCAGGGCACGGTGCTGCTCCCCTGAAGTGCCGCTGTGAGGCAGTGGGCGCCTTCCACCTCCTTTCTCCCTGGCGCCAGCTCCCGAGGGTGATCAGGCACCCCAGCGACCCCCACGGCACACAGTGCAAGCTCGCAGACATCCAGTCGCTCCACAGAGAGGCTGTGTAGGGTCGGGGAGGTCAGGGAAGGCAGGATTGAGGGTGATCAGGCACCCTAGCGACCCCCACGGCACACAGTGCAAGCTCACAGACATCCAGTCGCTCCACAGAGAGGCTGTGTAGGGTCGGGGAGGTCAGGGAAGGCAGGATAGAGTGGGACCCAATTCACCCCTCCCCAGGGGTAAACCCAGGCTCAGAGATGGGGTAGTGGCAGGTGGGACTAAACACAGGACATCCTGACTCTCACACGGGGACCTTTCCTGTTTGGGCTTCGTACCAGTCAGAGCTCTCCAAAGAAACAGAGCCAATAGGATGTGTGTGGGGAGCAAAAGAGTTTTGTTACATGACGTGGTGATGGGGGCTGGTGAGTCCAAAATCCCACGTGGGCCCTCCGTGGACAACGCGCCCCTCCCCAGACTGGCCAGCTCCTCTGGAGATGCCCGCCTTCCCCGAGTCCTCTTGGTTACCAAGACTTCCTTGTCAAGTCTTCCTAGCACCTCCAGCATGACTGACTGGATGGAGACACTAGCGACCCTCCCATGAACCGCCACCAAGATCCTGAGTCAACCCGACAGGCCGTGTACAATTTCCTTTTGCTGCCTTTTTCATTTAGGCTCTTTGCATTTATTTGTTTAAATGAATTTTGCCTGTGATTTTTTTCCCTTGTGCCAAGTTTTCAGGATTGGAGTCAGATTATCCTATAAAGTGAAGTAGGAAGCTTTCCATCGCTCCTTGCTATGAAGAGTTATCAACCAAGAAAACTATCTGTTTTTCGAAAGTGTTAAAATGCCTAAATGATCATTTGAGCGTTGACACATATTTTTGGAGGTAACTCTTTGAAAATTAAAATTTTTGCTTGGGCTTTCTACTTCTGCTTGAGTCAACTTGGATAACTACTATTTCCTTAGAAACGTTCCCTTCATTCAGATTCCCGAAATTTTCAGTATCAATGCCTGATACTATTTTCTCATATATGTTTAATCTCACGGCTATAATTACATGTTTTGGGGGTTCTTAACACCTGTATTTGTGGAGACTGTTAAGTAGGTTACCTAGAGGTATGTGAATTGATCACCTATATCATTTTCCTAATTTATCAAATTGTGCTCCTCTTTCAAATCTTTTTAAATTGTGAACTCCACCATAATGCAAAAGAATGTTTATTAAGAATTTAAAGAATAGTAATAAAATGAACACCCTTGAATCCACCATGCAATTTAGGAAATAGAATGCTACAGCCCCTCATTCAAAGATCATCAAGAATTTAAAGATGGGAACAGCTGAGCGAGCGCTAAGCCACACATGGCCCTGCTGAGCACAGGGCCCTGAGTGTCTGCGTAGTGCAGCCCACGGGGACTTGTTCCCTTGTCCCATCCTTTAGTGCCCTCGCTCTCCTGCAGCAGTCTGGGTGAAGATCAGTGAAACAGGCATCTCCCTGCTCCTTTTTGCAGACCCCCTCCCTGCCTGCTCCATGGTTTCCATTTCTAGGAAGGAGGCTGGAGAGCCCCCTGTCCTCCTGGCCTCCTGGCTGCATGTGGACACCACAGCTCTCCATGTGGCTCTCCTGGCAAAGCCTCTGTCATGGAGCACAGCCTTTCCACCCTACAGGCTACCCGGGGTGCTGCCTCCCTCCTCCCTACCTCCAGGCTCCCAGGCTGGGCGTCATGTCAGACCCAGTGGTCAGCCCAGGGAGGCAGGAGGCCTCGCACCTGGTGTAGGGTCAGGGTGTTAGACATGGGAAGGAGCGTGACGTGGGAAGGAGTGCCCACCCAAGAAGGCATTCTGAGGCCATCTGCACACCCCAAAGCTGTCTGTGCATCCATGAGGCCAGCTGCAGGGGTCAGAGGGTGCTGCCTGGAGCACAGAGGTCTGAGGACCTAATTGACCATGGAGGGCCCCCTAGGTGGGACCCTGGGGAGGGGGAGGGATGAAGGCTATGCTCAGGCTTGTGATTCCTGACCTAATCCTGCCCCCAGTGCATTTATGGGTAAACTGAGGCACAGAGGGAAGAAGCTCCCTGTAGAGGGAGGCAGGCCATCTATCTGCATCCAGGGACCGTGGGCTTGCCCCACTGTGGAGAGTCGAGTGCCGGCAAGAAACACAAAGAAGCCACCGTGCTTTTTGTAAGGAGCAACATAAATATATTTCCTCATAGACAAAATACAATAAATAGGTGGCAGTAGATACGTGTCACAGCAGCAAACCTGTGTGCGCGCCTGGGTATGGGCAGCAGGAGCGCTGGCCGCGAGGCTGACGCCAGGGGGACGTGTGCCTGAGGCCCCGTCGTGTTTGAGGTAAGACTTGATAGAAACTTTCCTTTAAGGTGAATCCCCTGCAGGGCACTCAGTCTGGCAAGCACCCATGGGCAGCTCTGGTCTTCAGCCCGTAGGACCACGGAGCCACTCAGGACATGGTCAGGCTGTGGCTCTTGTACAACCACAGGCCCAGGCAGCGGGCCCAGCTCAGAGAGGGCGGAGAGGTGGGCGGATGGCCCTGCTGGGCCCTTGCCTGCTGCCCCAGGCTGCGTGGGCAGGAGGTATTGGGCTCCTGCCCTGCCTTGCCAACTCACTCCTAGGCAGCCTGTAGCCCTTCAGCCTGTCCTGAGCTTCAGGACCCTGGAGAGGGGCTCCTTGGCGCTGGAGTAGATGAGGTAGGAGCCGGCTGAGGTGTTGAAGGCCTCCCAGTCCCTGCAGCCGAGGGTGGGGAGGCTGTGAACAGCCACGAAGCCCTCGTAGCCCTGCCACCTGCGGGGACAGACAGCGTTAGCCTCAGGGGAAGGATGGGACCTGCTGCTTTGCAGGGGGCAGGGGCTGCTTCCTCTCCCCATGGCTCCCAACCACCCGGCTCCTGAGTGACTACAGGACACTGTCCAGACCTCCCCCTGCCTTTCCCATGGGGCATGATCTGGAGGTTCCCACAGCCCCGGGCTAAACCAGTTCCCCAAGTCGTAATTGTAATCGTAAAGAGCTGGGCCAGGAGGGGCCTTCTCATCTTGCAAAAGGGGAAACTGAAGCCCAGAAGGAGGAAACTGCCTTGTCCAAGACCCTACAGCTTCCTCATTGCCACCCAGGATCCTGCCCCAAGCACCCCAAACCTGTGGAAGGACTGGAGCCTCCTTCCCCATGCCCCGGGGGCCTCTCTAGGAGCCTTGGCAGCGAGCCCCCTCTGTGGTTAGGTAAAGGGGCCCGTGCTCTGCACACTGCGCTGCAGACCCTCCTCAGTCCCACGACAGGCTGCCACCCAGGCCCACGGTCCTGCCACGGGCAGTCAGCAGGCTTCTAGGGTTTGCCCTTCAAAAGGGTGTCTATCTATCGACAGGGGCTTGTTTTGGTGCAGTGGAGTCCCCAGGTCAGAGGGCACGAGTAGTCTTCATTTCAGTGTTCCTCCAGGTCATTCTCCTGCCCTGCTGGGGGAGGGCCAGGACCCCCGCCTGGCACTCTGCTTCCTCGGTCCTTAAAACGATTCCAAAGTAACAGGTAGAAATGCCACGGTTTTGCTTTGAGGAAAAAAACAAACAAAAAAAACCCGACTTCCAATATTTTCATTTTCTTCTGAAAATTCCTGTTCATATCCTTTGCCCATTTTTCCAAGTTAAAAAAAAATATCTTTAATTTGTAGGGGCTCCTTTTCTGTCATTTGTGTGGTGAACACTTCATTTTTTGGTTTTGAGAGGATGAAGTTTTTCATACGAAGCTTTTAAATTTGGGTGGTCAGACGAGCGACCTTCCTTCCAGCCTTGGCCAGGGTCTCCACGTCTTCTCTGTGTAACTTTCAGGTCACACGAGGTTGTCTGAGCTTCTCCTCTAATATTTTTGTTGTTGAATTTTTTACCTCTAGGTTTTTAATTCATATAAAGTTTACTTTTATACATGGTATGAAGTAGGGTACAGTTATGTTTTCTTCCAGGTAGACAGCAATTATACAGAATAATTTTATTATGTAACGTATCCTTTTCTCACCAATTTCCAATACAATATTTATCCCATTAAATGATCATAAATTATTGGCTCTTCTGGACTGTATTTTATTCCACCTATGTATTTGTTTATTTTGGGCAAAAATCACACTATTCTATTTATATCCTGGCAGGGTCCTCCTTCCCTATTCTCTTTTTCCAAAAATTTCTTAGCCACCTATGAAAATTCATTGTTCATTATTCATTATTCAAATTCCACATGAATTTTAAAATTACTTTCTCATGTTGAAAAGTCTGCAGTAATAAATTTTAAAGTCTAAAGGAAACGTGACTTTTCCAGTAAAATATAGAAAGCCAAAACTGTCTCAAGAAGGGACAGAGACCCAGATAAGCCAGTCTCTGTTGGGGAGATCAGAAAAGTTGGTCAAAGGTTTTATCACTGAATTATAAAGTATAAATAAAGGTAAGTCCCTAAAAGAATACCACAGAGCAATTTCACTTGCTATTATAGATGCAAAAGTCTTAAAGATGAGCATTTGGAATGCAGCAGCATATTAAATTATACATCATTATCCAGTGGCATGAGTTCCAAGAAGACAAGGAGCTCTTTCTTGTTATAAATCATCAGAGCCACAGATAAGGGAGGACAGCCACACCATGCACTAACACATGCCAAAGGAGCCCATAAACATGCACAGACCATGCAACGTCGTACCAGACTGTGGCACTCGGGGGTTCTCATTAACCAGAGCTCGGCAAGCCTGCTGCTGGCTCTAACTGCTACTATTCAAGATTGTTGTGCAATTTTTAGCTGGTTAAGAAAACTAAACAAGCAATAAAAACAATAGAAAGTAAGAGGCAAATTAGCCTTTGTTCTCAGATGTAATTGTATTCTTAAGTCCCATGAGACTCTTCTTATTAAAAACTATTAGAATTGATCAGATAATTTGGTTAGGTGGCTAGACACAAAAATTGATTTTTGCAATAAGCAGCTGAAAATGGAAATGAAAAAAAAAATACAACCCCATTCATTATCTTTACAATACTTGGAAAAACTCCTAGAAATATGTTTAACAGGAATGCCACAGAGTCTATATGAGGAAAATTAAACAGCAGTAGTTCCCAGGTTAGTGCGTCCATACGCGGCCTCTCTAGCCAGACTCCAAAGTGGGATGAATTAGCATCACTGGGTCACATGGCTGAGCTGAGGACCAAAGCCCAGACAGCCTCCAGGCAGGTGCAGATGGCACCAGGTGACCCGCTGGTCACCTGCAAGGAAAGGTGAGCCCCCCAAGGGGAACCAAGATGGTGAAGAAGAATGCTGGCCTTTGGCAGCCCCTTACCTGTAAATAATACTGTTTACAGAGAAGGTATTTCCATCAAAGGAGTTGGCAACCACCAGGAAATAATCTTCTCCCACTGAAAAGAACTCCCAGTCCAGAGCGCTGTGGGAACAAGTGAGCAGATACTAGGACATGAAATGGAGACATAGCCAGAGAACTGGGGTGCTGGCTCAAAGCCAACCCTCCTAATTCCAGAAGTCAGGGGCCCAGCTTCCACCCCCAAAATTCACAGAGGAGGAGCCGGGGCCCAAAGAGGGGAGTGACTTTCTCAAAGATACACAGTGAACTGGTCTACTCTGGGAGAATGCAAACTAGCTGTTCACTTAAACATTTTAATTGTGCTAAAATACACATAATATAAAATTTAGCATTTTAACTATTTTTAAGTGTACAGTTCCATGGCACTAAGTACATTGTTGTGTGACCATCGCCACCATTCACCTCCAGAGCTTTTTCATCTTGCAAAACTGAAACTCTGTCCCCATTAAACACCAAGCCCCCACCCCCTTCCCCCAGCCTGGCACCCGCCCCTCTACTTTCGCTAGGAATCTGACCACTCTAGGTGCCTCATATGAGGGGAATCATACAGTATTGGTCTTTTTGTGACTGGCTTGTTTTACTGAGCATGACGTCCTCAAGGTCCATCCATGTTGTAGGATGTGTCAGAATTTCCTTCCTTTTTAAGGCTGAATAATATTTCTTTGTGTGCATATACCACATTTTGTGTATTTATTCATTTGTCCATGGACACCTGGGTTGTTGGCTGTTCAATAATGCTGCTAAGAACTCTGAAGTGCAAAAGTCCACTTTTAAAAAGTCAAAATTTTCAGAGAAAAAGTCCCAGGCTCCTGGTTGCTCCCTCAGGGCTTGCGGCGCCCTCCAAAGGCAGAAGCACGGGGGCTCCCGGTACCACAGGGTCTGCTGACAAGTTCTGCTGTGATGTGGCCTGGCCCAGTGGCTCGGAGCAATTCACATCGGTCCTCCGTGGGAACTGAGTTCTAGAACCAAGGGCCGTGTTAAAGAAAAAAGTGGCAAAGTTTTAATGTGCAGACGGCGTAAGTTACTGCTGACTGTACCGTGGCTCCTCAGAAGCTAGCGGTGGTCTGGCACCATGGAAATAAGATATCCAGCTGCGACTCCCTGTCTGTGCCTCCCTGCAACATCAGATCGCAGTAATTACACAGACAGAAATGTGAAGTGCATTGTTATTCTTCAGAACAGACCACACCCGACGGTCGGCAGGTGGGAACACCACAGTGCCCATCCATGCATGAACGGGTAAACACACGTGAAGTGTCTGTGTACTATAATATCATCTGGCCACGGAAAGGAAGGATGCACTGACACCTGCTGCAGCCTGGATGGACCTTGAAAGCCTTACGCCAAGGGAAGAAGCCAGTCACAAAAGGCCACCACTACATGATTCCATGTAAATGAAATATCCCAACAAAGACACCCAAGAGACAGAAAGTGCATTAGTGGTTGCAGGGCCTGGGGGGGATTGGGGCAGGGAGGGCCTGCTAGAGGGCATGCGGTTTCCTTCTGAGGTGATGAGAAGTCCTAAAATTGACTGTGGTGAGGGTTGCACGCATCTGTGAATTTAACAAAAATCACTGAATTGTAAAAAACAAAAATATACAAACCACACCAATATGAAGGTAATCGGAGCTCAGATTACAAAGACAGGCCACGAAATCACTCAACTGCCCACTCCCACAGCCTGGCTGACCAGGCCACACATGGCCCGGAGCCCTCAGGTTGCCCCCCTGAGTCACAGCACCAAGCCAGGACACCGCTTGCTCCTGTACTCTTTCTCTATTCTGAGGGTATTGTTTTTATTTTAAAAAATTAAATGAGTAATGCATTAACATTGTAGACATTTGCATATCAAATGATTCAGAAGTCATGGGGCATACCTGGAAATCCTCTTCACCTGCCTGCACAGTCCTCCAAGCCCGCCCCCTCCAAACTTAGCCCCTCAAGGCCCAGCCCCCTCTGAGTCTACCCTTCCATGCCCACCCACTCCTGGCCCAGGCCCCTCCAGGACCGCCCCC